GCGCCCTTCGCTCCCCCTGCGCCTGCCCGACGTCCGAGTTTTGGAGGGGAGGGAGGGAGAGCGATAAAGTGCAGAGCCGAGCAGAAGGCTGGGCGCTTTTCAAAGCAAAGAAATAACCCCGCTTCCTACCACCTAGGAGGGAAATCCTTCATCGATAGCTCTCACCTCCCCGGAGGGGTCTGCGGACGGGCTCCCAGCAGCACACACCGGACCCACCACAGCTGGAACAAACCAGCAAGGAACGATGTGTTTCAGCCCTTATCTACAAAATAAGGATGGTCAAAGACAACCCGCCTCGTCGCCCAAGTTTCTGCCCTTGCTTTCCAACGCCTGCATGCCCTACAGCAAGGCTAAGGCGAGACCAACGCTGCCCAGGAGGTCGTGGCCACCCGGGCAGCCCTCGGCCATGCTCCCGGCTGGGTGGGACGCTGCCGGTGGGCTCAGACCAGCCGCAGCACAGCAGGCCGGAGGAGCAGGGCGTCCGCAGCTCAGACACCGTCCTGGAGCTCCAGTGGTGCTCAGGCAGAGCTGTGCGCATGTCGAACCCACGGAAGGGAGGAAGACTGTGAATACCTGAACATCGAGAGAGGACAGGGCACAGCGCAGCAGCCTGGCTCCTTCCAGATGAGCTAAGAGGGCTATAGTTAAACATGGATTAAACCCTGCTGCTGCTGCTGCCTCTTGCATGTCCCCGTGAGTGTTTTTTTCACATTCCTGCCAAGCGTGATCCTGAATCCAGGGCCCAAGTCCCGGCCTCGCTCTTCTCACCCAAAATCGGGATGAGATAAGAGCAGCAGCACCTCCTGTTTCACAAGGAGAGGGGCTCCAGCCCCCGTGGAGATGGCGGCCACCAGCTCCCTCCCTCCCCATCAGCACCAAGGGCACGTGGCAGCATTTGCCCCCCAGATCAGAAGAAACCCATTCTTCTCTCGGGTTCAAATGACGATTGCAGGATGGCAGGGGAAATCCCCGTCCCACAGTCCTCTGCTAGGACAGCGGGCTCAGGGAAGAGCCCAGCAGCCAAAGCCCTGGCTTCAGCTCAGCGTGGGCTAAGCCCAAGCCTCACGGATGCAGCAGGAGGGAAGGAAGGGTTGGCCATTTGCCCCAGGGCCACAGGGAGGTGGGGGACAGGCTATTCCTTGATCTAGAACCACGAAGAGCCTGCCCCATCCCAGCAGAAAAGCAGAGGTGGCCTCAAACTTGCCTTCACAAGACAAGCCCACCACCTTCATCTCTAAACCCGGTCCATACTGCTCTCTCCCGGCCAGCGAATGAGCATGTAAGAGGATTGCTGCTGTGCGAGAGCGGGGCAGCCCAGGCAAAGAGCAACCTCACCAGCCCTCCACCTCCACGACCGGGAGCTGAGAAGTTTCAAGTCACGGCATAGAGCTCCTCACGGTCGTTCTGGCAGATCTGATAGCGACAAGTGAGCTTCTGTGGCCAGGCCCAAGGCTTCTTATGCTTGTCCCGAGGAGGAAGCAGGAAAGCAACGCTGCAAGCCACCAGCACGTGCCAGATGCTGTGGGTGTAGTAATAGTTCTCATTGGTTTCCATGAATGCATATACTGAGATGGCCACGAAAGCCAAGGCGATCCCTGGGAGGAGGTAGAAAACCCAGCGCTTCCACGAGGAGGGGTAGCAGCGTCTGCGCTTCACTCCGTGGTAAACCTGGAGGTGTGAGAGCACAGAAGGGCTAAGCAGCCAGCCTGATGCTCAACCTGATGCTTAGGCAGGAGGAAAACAGGCAGCGCTGACTGACCCAGGAGCATCTGCCGACCCCACAGCAAGAGGGAGCCCCCAACACCCCTGGGAAGTTCAGCCTCCCCCCTTCTGGCACAGGCTGCCCAGGGAGATTGTGGAGTCTCCTTCTCTGGAGATATTCAAGACCCGCCTGGACAAGGTCCTGTGCAGCCTGCTGTAGGTGACCCTGCTTCAGCAGGGGCGTTGGACTGGATGACCCACAGAGGTCCCTGCCAACCCCAAACATTCTGGGATTCTGTGATTCTTGGGCCCATCTCTGGCGTGCAAGAGCCCCTGCCCAGCTGCAGCACCAAAGCCCAGCATGCAGAGGGCAGTGGTGATGCCACAGCTCCTGCCCAGGGCACGGACATCAGCCGACTGCTCCGGGGCAACGCTGGAGCCCCAAGGCGTGCGCTCCACTGGAGCTCCGGCAGCTGGACTGTGCTGAGACCCACAACCAGGCGATTTCTCAGCTCTCGGAGGGATGGGAGGCGAATCTCTTGCCCTGCACCCCCTCCACCTGGGGGTCTTGAGGAGATCAAGCCCCGCCTGTGGGTCGGCCTGAGTCTGGGGTCTGCTCTGCCACCATCGTTCTCTGGAGGGGAGCAAAGGGGAGCAGGTCCTGCCCGGCTGCCCCTACTTACCCACGCTGCAGTCATGATGATGAGGGCAAAGAGGCAGGGAGCCATCATGTTCCACACCCCTCTGCGGTCCAGCTGCAGGGACATGGCAATTAGCAGGGTCCCCAAGACGAAAAGGACCTGGGAATGAGACACCCACCACTACTGTCAGCAGCTCACCTGCTGCCAGCCATGACAGAGACAGGGAGGACCTCACCTCCCGGCCGCCCAGCCCTGCGTGCATGCAGGGCTTGGGAGCAGAGTCCTCAGAAGGAGAAACCAGATGACCCACAAACCTTTCCCACAAGTCCCAGTCCCTACAAGCATGCAGGTTCACGATCCAAACTCCTGGGACAAAACAACCCACTGGTTTAAAAATCAGGGTGGCACTGGGTGACAAAGAGGCTTTGTCACCAAGCTGGGCTGTGAGAGGGCTCAACATGGCCACGTGTGGCGTGGCTGGCTCAGGTCTGGCCCTGCTGCACGGGGTTACCTGACACTCACGTATTTCACAATCTTCTTCACTCGAGACATGCACAGGATCGTCACCCAGATGGACACCACGGAGCCCAAAAAGTCACAGTACTGTAGTGTGTCGTAGTCCATGATGCACATCACCGCAACGCCTGGCTGGTCGCACGCGTGGTAGAACTAGAACCAGGGACAAAAGCAAAGGCTGACGTGAGTCCAGCAGCACCACACAGTTCGCTGGGAAGGAGAGGCAGGAGAAGGCTCAGCCCGTGGCGTCCAGGATCCCGCCCGGCAGTGCCTGGGGGAAGCTCCACCGATCCACCGTGGCGTTATGGAAAGCAGACGGGAGCAGCCATCAACCTGCACCCTCCCAGCAGCAGCCAAGAGCTCCTAGGACAGCACCCATTAAGTGCGTGATGCTCCCACCCTGTCTCTGCTCCCTGGGGTCCAACCCCCAAATACGACCACCTGCAGTGCGGGTGGAAGAGCCCAGTGAAAACAACCCTCTTGTAAGCTCTGACGGGGCAGGACATGTCCGTGGAGGTGCTTGTCCAATGATCCTAGCAGCTCCTTGTGGAGCTCCAGGCTGGACTGCCCCACCAAGGACTTCAGTCTGATG